AAAATCAAACCAATTTCACCAAGTTTAATCCAGACGGGTCAAAAATGCAATGGGACAGGGCCTTGTTGCGCAAGAAAAACAAATAAACAAAAATGAACAGCACAAAAATGCCCTAATAGGGCGACCACTGCATCATCGTCAAACAAAATACATCATAACGTGTATCCCACCGTGCCATTCACCCCACCTTTCCTCTTGGCATGTAGAAAGCACACGCATAAAAGAATATATCCTTATATATGTAGACTGACAACAGGAGTAACGTACCGGCAACGAAGGTAAAATAAAGAAAAGAAAAACAGGATGAATAGGAGGGTTAAGGGGAGGAGAACGAAAAAAAAAAAAAACTGTCACGATAGGAAAACGATGCTTCGGGTAAAATATCAGCGAGATTCTTCCTCTCTTCCGTCACTCCATACACGGTAAACATAACTCTGTAGGTGATCCTCACTATACGGTTACGCCAATCCCATTTCTTTTCTTACATTTCAATTTCATCATTTTTTATTTTATTTTTATCGCTGCACTTTCTTCTGAAAGGTGGCACCTCCGGAATATGTCGTTTGTGTCTTTGGTATTGGGCGCGAGAGCTTGGTGGGCGTTGCCTGGACCGTTGCTCCTTTTACCAGACGCCTGACAGTTCCACTCTTGCGCACTAACTCCGCCTGCTCCTTCTCGCGCTCGGTCTTCAGCAGGTCGCGGAGCTTGGAGCGGCGCTCTGCCTTATCGTACTCCTTCGCTACATCCAGCAGCTGCCCCTCCGCCTGCTCGCGTCGCCTATCCTCCCTGTTCTCCTCCTCAAATTTTATTCTACCAGCGTCACGTTTCAGTCCCCGGTCACGCAGTTCGATTATCTCCAGTCCGCTTTGGGTTAAGGCCCGCACCTCGCTGCTTTCGTCCATCTGCAGACGGTGTATCATGTCCTGGTACTCCTCAAACGCGCTCCCTGACGTTGACAATTCGAGAACCCTACGCAAGCATGGCAGCGTACGCGCAAGTTCTAAACGCACCATATCCATCTGGTCATGTTGAAGCTCAAAGCAACACTCAAGCATCCTCTCACGAATAAAGCGGCGTGAAAATAAAGAACATGCGGCCCTGACAAAACGTAAATAGTCCTTGCGTCCAAGACAAAAAGAACCATGCGCATATTCGTTGTTCAGTTTGCTAAAGAACTGAACCTTA